CACCACCAACAAAACAAAACAAACAAAAAATCCTCAACCAACTTGTGACTTGAAAAGGTCAGAAATTAAAATACACCAGTACTATTAACTAACAAAGTTAGAGCTGCTCTCTTTTTTTTTTTTTTTTTTTTTTTTTTTTTTGAATAAATTACTGGAAGAGCAGGTCCAAGAGCTATTATGAAAGCATTTGTAAAAGTTACTTACAAATAGCAGCGAAACCCAAAGGTAGGTGTAATCAAGGGGATAAGAGCTCCCTCTGTGCAGAGATATTCCCTGTCACAGGACTGGAACAGAGTGCCACAGTGAAAGGTGCCAGCAGTGGGAGGAAGCACATAAAACAAATTAGCCCTCTCCCCTTTCCACCAGTAAATCCGTCTGGTAACAGCTGTTACCTATCCAGTTTATACAATCTCTTCTCCAAAATCTTTGATGTTCAGAAGACTGGAAAATCTAATCGTGTCTTGGGACAGAGAATAACAAAAATATTGAGAGAGTAATAAAAACACAAACAATTCTCTTACTGCAATACTTGCTGAGAAAGTTCTCCAGATCTGGTTAACTAGCAAACTCTTTTATAAGCCACTCATGAATGGATGAAATTTACTATTCATGGTTATGGAAATAAAAAAAAAAAAAAAAAAAAAAGGACTTGCTTCATTCAGCAATTGTGAGAACAATGATATATTTTCATTTTCTTTGCTAAGGACAACTTGAAAATGAAAGCATTGAGGCTTCATTTGAAAGTCTGCAGTTGCAGTTTACAAAGCCAGGGCACAGATTAGCCCATTAGCCCGGGAGCCTGATTCTCAGTTACATCAGCTCTAATGGAATTGCACTTGTGCAATGAAGGCGATAATGAAATAAATAGGTCATAATATCTCTGGGTACTACTATGTGACCAAAACAGCTGGATACACCATACACCAGGAGATCTGTGGTAAGGCATCAAATGTGGAGCAGCTTGGCTGGTGGCTGCCATGCCATGCCATGGCTTCCCAGACTGAGAGGTGGCTTTCCTCCAGGAGAGGCAACCACATGCTGGGAATGACATAAGTCCTGCCTTAGTTGCTGACAAAATGACTTGAGGTATGCTACTCATGACATATGCCCTACAGTAGTTAAATGAGGAACGAGAGTCCTCCTCTGTCACTTTTGTCCCAGACAAAAAGTGGAGTTATGCAAACAGGCACCACTTGTGGCATGTAAAGCGGATGCAGCGCATCGCCATACCCAGAGTGGGTGCACCAAGCTACCCAGCCATTCGGGTCACACAGGCCTTGGCAAAGGACATGAACAGCAGCTCCTTCTGGAAAAGAGAGGGACCGTACCAGTCTCCAGACACCTGTTGAAACCAAATTGTAAGAGTCAGGTTAGGAGTGCTGATACCTGTTCCTCGTGTGCGGCTGCTGCAGGCACACCTGTGGTACCTGGCAGAGTTGGTAAAACAGCTTGTGCAGAGGGGACCCACTCTCACTGCTGTGAAACAGGAATAGCACTCATATCAAATTTGACATGCAAAGTGGGACCTAGAATATGAATTTTAAATGCAAATTTCAATGCTCTCCCTGCATCACTGTGCCATTCACCTGTGGCTCCTGTGCACACAAATCTCCCTAAAGAAGCGCCTTAGTTGCTTGCCAGAGCAGAACCTCCAAGACTTATTTTTCCCATTTGGAGATTATTCAGCACAAACTCTCAGCCTAACTATATGGCTATTGTTTTACTCTTCTTTTAAATCACTACAGATTTTTTCTCTGCTTTTGAGGGGGAGGAAAATAAAACGGGGGCTGATACATTTTAAATTTTAAGGGAAAGAACCCCTCTAAAGTAAGAAATATTTCAAAGACAGGCTTATGCAGTTTGTGAAACTTGTGTCTGCTGTTTATAATTTGTACCACAGTCTGCCTCCTTCACCCTCTGACACAAAACAAGAAAACTGGATTCAAAATGAGATTGCACCATGGTGAATTCATTCCTTGAATTGCATCGTATGTTTCAGCAATACACAGCGTGGGAACACGTCGATTAGCTCTCGCTTTGAAGAAATTGGATTTGCAAAGGTCAGCAGTGGCTCGGCCCATTTCTCAGCAGATCTTTGGCTTGCTTTTCATCCCAGGGCTAGCAGGGAGGAGGTCAGAGAGGAATGACAAAAAGAGCGAGCTTTTTGAAGCAAGCCCAAAGAATTTGACCATGCTCACAGTAGTGCAGAGGTTTCTTTTGCTACTAAAAAGGTAGTTTTAAAATAAAAATTAAAGGAATAAGTTCTGGGTTTACTTTACATATTAAACAATTCATTATTTTGGTATAAAGTAAGAATACTTTTGAGTTTAACTCTCAGTCTGGCTAGAATTTGTGAAACTAATTTGCAGAAACAGCCTGCTCCCCCTGCATCGCTCTTGCTGTGTTAAAGGGAGTAGCCAGGCTTGAAAAAAAAAGGTGGAAAGATGAAAAACCTCAGCCCCCAGTGGAAGTTCTAAACCTCAAGAGTTTGTGCACTGTATTTTTCTCTGAAAACACGTTTTCCATTTGTTTAACTTGCTCCCATGCCAGCTTACTGAGACAGAGGTAGCTTCATTACCCTTTCTAGCCGGAAAACTCACAAAATATTTTGGCCACCCTCCACACCTTATTAACATAAACTGGAGTTTCCTACCACTGCTGGCAGAGCAAGGCGCTGGGAACGTGTGATCACGGCGTTTCGGCAGCTGTCGCTGAGGTTAGTGCTAGGCCTGCGGTGGAGGGCTGCTCCTGGATCCTGAACAGTGGTTTGCTGTGGGCACTTATGCCAGGAAGCCACAAAAGAGGGGAGGAGGTGGGAAAAAAGAAACGAGGGCAGGTTAGAGAGGAATCCAAGGAAACCTAAGCAAGCCTAAGTTTCTTCACCTGTACATATTAAATATCACTTGCAGAAATGCAGCGCATACAGTCCAAGAAATGTCTCCTAGAAATTTGGGAATAATGGGTTTGTTTGCTCCATTCGTGTGATTTTTTTCAGCAGGTCACTTTGTATGTCTCAGTTTCTGTGGTGCAAGGAGAGAGTAGAGAGAATATCTCTAGCCTCTGTCTAGTCTCTGCGAGCTCTAAAAAATTTATTTTCCCTGTTTTCCAACAAATAACATTGCAGTATTCTGGCATAAAATATAATTTAGAAAGCATCCAAATCACAGAAAGCCAATTCCCGATGTACTATAGGTTCTTGTGAAGTACCAGCACTGATCCAGGTGAATTTCCCATCACATTGACTGAGCAAAAGCTGAATGCCAGTCTTTGCCTGGTCTGATTTATTCATCTCAGAGAATTCCTTCCCAAGCTTGTCCCAAGCACTCCTAATGGCTGGGCTGCTGTAGAAGGTGCCTGTAGCAACACTGCAGAGCTTGTGAAACCTCCTGTAATGAAGCATTTATAAGATGTATAAAAGAGGTGTAGCACAGAGCAGTTCAGGAAGATGAAAAGAGAGTGGCTATCATCAAAAAAAAAAAAAACAACAAACAAACAGACGAGTGATGTTTCAGTGACCTAAAAAGGAAGTAATAAATGCTGGTTTTAGGCTTTCAGTGGGGAAATGGCTTGTTCACCTACTGCTGCATAACTACACCAGGTTTTCCCAACATCTCATCATCTCCATGAAAGAATGAGTCTATGGAGGGCTTGTAACAACCCTGCCAAGGAGATTGTGCCAACTACCCTGCAAGTATTATGTTAACAAGTATCCAGGCGTACCCTGAAGTTCCTCATTACCTCACATACCAACAACTCTTCTGCTGAGCCTTCACTTCCCGGTTAAAGATGTAGAGGAAAATAAAGGATTTGAGGTTCCCCTGCCAAGGGGATCTCTCTTCAGAAACAGATTCTATGGTTCTAGCACTTTGTGATAAATAGGGGAGCCCATCCAGAGGTTTGTTTCCAGCATCTCTACAAGGAATGTATTTTTTAATTGGACTGACCTCCACATAATATGACCTGTAGGAAATTGTTATTTATGGATACACAAGTCCATAACGGTAAATTTTGCATCTGTGTACATGCAGGTAAAGAACTATCTAACACACAGAATTTAGGCATATGGAGTATCTAGATTACCTATGCACAGCCGTTCATGTTCTGCCAACAAAACCAAGTAGCATCTTCTTTGTATTTAGCATTCTCTTGCCTATTTTCCTTTTTAACACACTCTATTTTTGTTTTCTATCAACACTCACTTCAGCTTCCTTCAGTGAAGAAAGGTGTCCTTACTATACCTTTCACATAAGAACAAGCTTAGTAACTGAAAATACAAAGTGTTGGTTTTAGTTTTCTTTTTTAAAAACAAAATTTTGAAAGTCAGAAGGCTAAAAAAATACAGTTGAGGATACTTTTCTGAGCTGCAATAAAAAAAAAGAAGAAAAAAAAGAAAAAAGAAAAAAAGGACTGGTCCAAACACACATTTTTTTATTAAAAAAGAATACGCATAAATAACAGCTGCTGACCATGTAGTCATTCTTTTTATGAGGTGTTTCCCTATACCCATGTATGATTTCCACATATAAATTCCCTGTTGGTCTGAAAACTGCTCACATGAAACTGGTGTTTTTCTTAACAAATTGTCCACAGGATCTGTATTTCATCTTGGACATAAAAAGTTCATTAGCGAAAAAAATCATCCCAGTGTCCCGGTGGAAAGCAATGCCAGGCACTATCCAAGCTAAAAAAAGATCTGACTGCATAGCCTTTGTTTCCTGCTTTTCTACTTAATTATTTTCCATAATTTAATACAATTCAATATAACATTGCATACAATAAAAGTGCCTGTGGTAACAAACATCTAGTCCAAGGCAGAGAAAAACAATTCTTTCACTGAGGATTTCACTATGCTAAATTTTGTTCCCTTTAAAATTGTCTAGGAGAGGGAAGAGGCACCTAGCTCTAAAACAGTCTGTCTCTGAGCACAGAAACTCTGAAGAACCCAGAAAGAGCCTGCTTGATCAGATGCCCTTAAAGCATGCAGCTCCAAGTCTTCTTACCAGGGTCTTCTCACTGAAGAAAATCACTGGAACCGGAATCAGATGTTCTATATGGGGGGTTCAGTTGTAACTCTAAGAAAGAAATAAAAACGTGAAATTGTGAAAAATTGCCTCCAGTGCACACATGAAAATCAAAATCTACATATGTCACTATCTCATACTAAACAGTATGGTCATTAAAGGTCACCTACTCCTTTTAGTATGGAAGTGCAGCTATCTCCTGAATAGACCCGTGAATTTGGCAGAGACTGAGTAAAGAACGTGCTCCTAAGAGATTCCTGCTTCTAGAGAAAAGTGCTTGGTTTGACAAACTGCTGGATGTGCATCAAAATGTGACAGACAGGGGCCAATTTTTTGCCATGCTTCACTGAACTAGTCTAGCAGAATGTAGTCCCCAAAAGCACAGTTGCTTTCATTCCATAATTTACTTTCATCTGTCTTTTTCAAAACCTTCCCTAATTAAGCTTAATTGCCATGCAGTCACACATTAGTGCAGCATTCTGTCCACTTACAGACCACCCATAAAATGTTCATAGCATTAATCCTGGAAAGTGGTAGATTGCTTGTTTTGTTTTGTTTTCTAATGTGCCTAAGTGCCTATAATGCATAGTGATGGCTTTCTGGAACTGATACTTGACTCTGATTATCACAAAAAGATTCTTAGTTTATATCAGAAAATTAGTGAGGTCAGAAGGGTGCTTGTGTTTGGGGAAAAACAAGCAGCTGTGATGATTTGGAATCTAATGTCTTTGGTGTGTAACTCAGACATGGGGATTCCCAGCTCTCTGTAATATTCAATTCCTTAGGACAGTTATGGAGCAGACTACAACAACTGGATACTCTCAGCTTTTGTGAGTTAGCTAGGTTCTCTGCATCACATAAAGCCTCAGTGACTTAGACTCACAATAAGCAATGATTTGGTGACCAGTGAAACCCATGAAAACTATCCTTTGAACTGAGCAAAAGTCTAGTCTGGAAGATGCTGCTAAATAATTTGTAGGAGATGATCCATAGCAGAGTGTTTAGAAATAGTGAAACAACAGCAACAGCAACACAAAATCACAACGAAGTCAGCTGAAGTGTTCCCACAAGTGGCTGATAGTTCATCTCTAAAAGTAGAGCTTACTAGAGTATAGTAGCTCTCATACCTTTGAAGTCAAGATGTTCTCCAAATTTCTAGGATGGTCAAGCAAAAGCAGCAAGTACCAGGTATCTCAGAAGAAAGCCACTCCAAAGATGCTTTCAGACAGAAATGCTCAGTGAAGCTGCGTGGGCTGAAAATTCACATGGCCGCGGGTACAATGATAAATAAGACAAGCAGAAAGTAGTGCTGGATAATGCAATCAGAACTTTCATATCAGTCTGATAAAGCCACATTTTGTAGAACTGAGATTCAACATGAGGGAACCCCAGCCTTGCTGACTGTTGAGAGCTGGAGTTCACAGAACATGACTAAAATTTTCATTTATCATTTGCACTGGCTACTCTTCCCTATGTTTTCTGGGCACCACAGGGCAATGCCACTATCTTTGCCACTGCTAGAAATACTTCTCCATCCAGAAATGACATAGAGAAAGGGAAGAACAAAATTCAGGTCCAAGTTAATATTTCTAAATTATTAATAAGTTGTTAAGTTGCACCTAGTCCTTTAAAAAGCTTTCAAGCTTTGAGGGATGTATATGTTGGACAGGGAAAAGTAAAAGAAGAAATACCAAGAATTGTCTAACCAGCAAGGACTAGTTATATATGTAATTTATTAGCTAAATTTGTCCAAACTACACAGTACTAGAGATGCATATCCTTTGAAAAAAAGTAAGACCATGTTATGCATGTGAAGCAAATGTAAAATAGAGAACGGGATACACATACGTTATTGCCTGTGAGCCCAGAGGCAAGTTCTGATGCTGATTAAAAAAATTTAACATCAGGGAAAATAATTCTCTTCAGTAACACTTGTGAATTTCAAAACTGAGCAAAACAAGTCTCTCCTAGTTTGATTTGAATAAAAATGCACACATTTCATTTGTATTTTGTTTGACAAAAGCTAGAAAATTTCAAGTGACACAAAGTTTCTTTTAAAATTTCTTAAAAGTCACACACCTAAATAAATAAATAAATAAATAAATAAATAAATAAATAATACCCCTAATTGTTATCTACGTTGACACTATCTCTGTGCCTTATTTACTACCCAGCCCTACCTTTCTTTCTGGGTGGGACTGGCACAAGGCAAACACTCATGTAGAAACTGAAATGGCAAGCAAACAAGCAAACCAGAGTAAAGAAATAAAAAAGTGTGTATTTGTTCTCCCAACTATGCTGCAGGACACTGAGGGTATGATAGCTGCAACTGGGTTAGTCCTAGAATTTTAGTACATCCTAATAGAGGAAATCTGACACATATTGCAAAACAAAAATTCTCAGCTCTGAAATGCTGGAATAAACTAATGTGTTATAATTCCAACAACAACAGGGCCCTTCCCAGGGAGAAGCTACCGTCCTTCTTTCATTTCAGACTCATCTGTCCAGTTTCAAATTGTCTTTCAGACGTTAACCAGCCTAGATCACACAGATGTGGCAGTCCTGGGGATGGCTGCACATGGCAGGCAGGCTTGTTTGCCACAGGGATTCCATGCTTTTGGTCCTCAGTGTCTCTGGTTTGGCCTACCTAACCCACGGGGCATAGGCAGTACTGTTGGTATATATATATTTTGTGGGGTTTGTGGTCATCTGGAATGGCCTTGTGGCTAATTCCTCAGAGAAAGCATAGTGTCATCTCTCTGGCATTGTTGCCATGTATTTTTTTTTTTGCTTGCTTTTAAAAATAAGTGAAATGTCTAATCTCTAAATATACCAACTGCTCACAAAAGTATACAGTTCCTTAGGGAAATGAGGTTACAACAGAACTGTGCTGTGAGAATGCTCATCTATCATCTGCTTGCTCTTTCCCCTCAGTTTTAACTAAATTTTACAGAAGGACAGAGGTCTCTGTGACCCGCAGACCCTTACAGGCCCTGCTCAGACTGGGGATGGCCAGAGGTGAGGGAGCTAAGTCTCCCGCTCCAGGGAGAGAAGAGCAGGACGGCCTTGCAGACATGGCCAAGGTGCGCTGGCCATGCACATGGTCCTCCCTGCCAGGCCCTGGACGAGCAGCAGGGCTGGTGGTGGTGGAGAGCTGGAAAGCAGATGACGGGGCTGAGGAGACAGAAATCCATAGGAAATGAGGCTGCTTTAGTTTGGCTGCCCACAGGTCAGCCTGCTCACTGATTTATACCATTTTTTCCCCACAGTTTTTAAGTTCTGCTGAAAATTATTTTTCTGCCAACCATGCTTTCCAGGAAAAGACTGCAGTGCTTGCTTCAAAACTTCTGACAATATTGTTTAAATGCTGAACAAGGGGGCAGAGCAAACAAGTTTTTTCTTATGTTTTGCTTTAACATTACAGATGCTTTTCCAGTGAACTATGAGCCAAATTCTCCATTTCAGCAAGTAGGAACAAGTGAGTAGATACTGACATCCTGAATCCCAATTTTTCATATTAAGATCACATTTCATTAGAGAACATCTGAGCCTGCAGACCTCCAAGACTATTTTCTCCTAAGTACTAGTCTCACAGACTAAGCACTAGTCTAAGTAGTAGTGGGAGAACGTGTGTGGGTTGAAGGCTCAGTACTGACCTATACTTTGTAATATGTTTTACCTGGAGATGCAGCTACCCTGTCCCCCAGAAAGCAATATTAAGTCCAGGGCCTGTTCTTATAGATCCCGTTTGAACATGGTTAAACAAATGAAATCATATTCTGTAGGCTTCAGTGCTCCTGAGAGTTAGGAAACCCAATAACACCAACAAATCATGATTAAAACCATAGGAAGCCTCATCAGGGAATGATTGCATATTTTGTAGTTTGTTTTAATTCATATTTAAATTTGGCACAGGCAGAAACAAGAATACAGTTAAGGCTGAAAAAATTATTTGTTTTAATGAAAGTACTTTGTCATTAACAATCTTACAACTGTGAATAATAAAAGGACTGTGATGAACTCTATTAATTTATATTTTAGAATACCAAATATGTATTTAAGGTCCTAGGTGATAAACATCAGTTACCTGAGGCACCCCAGCACAGAAACAAACACAGTTGATCAAATACTTAATATTATTTCATGGTTTATCTGGATGAAAAGTGTTAAGTAAGTTTGCATAGTTGATGTCCAGATGACTGCAATCTAAATAACATACAAACCTTCACAATCAAATCCAGCAAGAGCCAGACAAAGAGAAGCACTTACCCACCCAGGAGCAAATAACTCTTTTGTAGAAATGCTTTTTTTAAAACAAAATATTAAAAAAAAAAAAGTTACTCTTACTAGAGCCTAATTATCACAACAATATCACCAGTCTAGAAGTGTATAACTTTGAATATTTAAACATATCTGTATAAATGTGGATCTGAGTAATTTTATCTGGCTCATGAATGTAAAAAAAATGTCAGAACAGAAGTTTCTTGGCCTTCAGATAGACTTTAACAGTTAAAAAAAGCCCAGCATCAGAAACAACACCCCAACAACAACAATATTTATTCTTTCTGCCGAAGCCATTACCCAACTTTCCAGCACTAATCCTGAACTCTGCCTCTCACTAGCACTGTGCTGTAAGTACGACAAAGGGCAGACAAGGGCACCAGACAATATAAACTGAAATGTTTGCTTGAGCGTAACTGGAGAACCGCGATCTGCCAAATTCTGGCAAGCCTGAGCTTGCACCACTGTTAGGGGCAGGTCATTAAGGAGAGCTCTGCTCCCACAGGTCGAGCTAAGGGCACCGCTGGGGCTAGGCCAGAGTGTGCAGCACCACGCGCCCCAGAGCCACTGTCAATCTAGAAGGGAAAAACAGCGTGTGACCACTGTGCTGCACGACTTCGACTTCATTCTGAGGAAGGCCTCACTCGCCAGAAGAGCAGTCTCTGTTTTGGGATGGGGCAGACCCTTTGGAATGACAAAGCACCGTGGGGATGGCTCTGTCACTTTAGTCACAGTTCACAGGACTGTTCCCCCAAGTAATCCCAAACACTTGCAAAAACCCCATATAAATATGGCTGTAAAGCTACCAGTGATCCTTAACCATAAAGATATAATACCAAGCATGAAACCTGAGGGTTTTTGTTTGCTTGTTTGTTTGTTTCTTATCTCCTGCACATATGAAAAATATCTTTAAAGGAGATTAAATGCTATTTAGGAGTGATTTTGAACCACTTGCAATTTCCTTTATGCAATAAAAGATTTTCTTTTCTTGGAATTTTCCTGTTTAGGTTGTGTTTTTGGACTCAATATATCATAATACTTCCCTCAGTATCCCTGCTTTTAATGATGCTAGCAGTATTTGAGCCATTCATCAAATGTGACAATTGAAACAGCTAGGAGTTAATGGGAGCATGAGCAGTTTGACAAACACAGTCTATTTGACAAGGCTGGGGTCAGGACTAAAAGAACTGCTCTTGGTTAAATAAACAGAAAAGCAACAAAGTAAAAGCAAAATCTTTGCAGCCATTTATCAACTTTAAAAGCCTTTTTGTTATAAGAAACATAAAGTGAAGCTGCACACAGAGATGGGATTTAAATGGGGTTGGTTGGAAGAATTCAGTTGGCTTCTTTTTTGGGTGAAATTAAAACACCCAGCTGAAAACAAAGAATTATGCCTGTAAAACTGACATGTAGTTACATAATATCTAAACCTATGTGTTAAAACCATCTGTTTCTGAACTGCCTTATTATTTTAATGAACCCAGTCTTTCCCAAGTTAACAGACTGATTCAGGTGACAATGAAAGGAGGGTGATACAACAAAGATTATTTTCCTGACTTCTGCAAGGCAGGACAGCACTCTGCAGACATGGCCAGGACCTCACTGAGACTGCACTGCATCCATTGCTGATTTCATAACAAATTTACCTGATACTAATCTGTTACCTGGAAGGCAGGCCTTCCAGGGAATCTTTGCAAAATGTCAGAATTTTGCATTTGGACACAATATAGCCTGTAGGAAATTCCTGAATGTCAAATGACTCCTAGAAACTAATAATTAGTGTGTTCTCTAACTTCCTCTCTTATTTGGTTCATGGGCCATTTCTTTTGAATAGAGGAGATTATTTTGGGTTTGCTTCTTTCTCTCCCTCTGTCCAAGTCTCTGGAGAATCCAAGAAAAGTAGAAGCACTGACTCTTCTTGCACTCCCTGAGTAATTATTTTTTTTTTCAGAGCATTCAGCAGACCAAAAAT